ATGGAAATACAACAATCACCAAAATATTTTGTTTAATCTAGTAATTACAAATCTTCTAAACACATATGCATTATGATGCTATATGAAAAGACGGGTGCATGAAAAATCTAAAGCTACAATTTTACACTTTCATTGCCCATGATTTATATGAAACCTGCAAACGATATTTATAATTTTTACAAATGTATATTGAATCGCTAAAGTAAATTAATAATATTAAAAATACACACCTTTTTATGCCTTTTTTTGTTGAAATATTCCTTTTTCTTCTTTCTCTTGCATCGCTAGTTGATCTCGTCCTTCTCTCGTTAGGTTGATTTTTCGTGGTTACAATTGTTATGGAAAAGTTGAATGCTTATACAACCAATACGTAAAGAAAACTGAAAGGTGAAGTTTAAATACTGATGTCGTATTTTTTAAATCATAATATTATATTGATCCTCTCTAAACACGTATGTACTTAAACTTGAGTGGGTGGTGGATGACACATTTATTGAATTATATCAGAATATTTTGTAATCGAATTCCAAAGGTATCAACTACTCCCTCCGTCCCAGTGTATTTGTCCAGTTTGACTTTTTTGAGTCAAACTGGACAAACTTTGAGCTTCAATTAAATAAAAACCGTAATGTATTTTAACATAAAAATGACATTATTGAATTTATCGTATTGAGAGCTTTCAAAATTGTATTTCATTATGCTAATATGTAATACAAATTGGGAGTAATTGGAGTTCAAAGTTTGTCCAGTTTGACTCGAAAAAGTCAAACTGGACAAATACACTGGGACGGAGGTAGTATTTTCATTAACATAACTCTAAAATTGAGTAATTTAAGTCATAAATCTAAAACGATGGCAAGTAATATCACAAAGTACTATATTTAACGTTTTATTAAATTTATACGATTTAGCATTAAGAAAAGAGGGCAAATAATATTACAAATTATTATATTTAATATTTTATTAAAATTATAAGATTTAGCTTTCAAATAGGAAATGTTCATAAAAAATGAATGACTCTAAGTCAAGTTTTTTTGAAAAAATATAAATATAAATCTAAAAATAGGAAATGTTTTTTTTACCCCTTATATGTATATATGATACACAAATTGGTTGTTGAATATATGATACACACATCGATTTGTTTTGTTGTCAAATTTTGAATAATTCTTAAGATTAACGACATGAAGCTCACAAAAAAACTACTCAGTATATTGTCACTATATTAAATCAATACAAAAAATTAAAATATTTTTTAATCATTATTTTGTATATTGATTAAATTTGTCAATTCATTAAAATAATAAATAAGTGACTGATGACTTGTTAAAAGAATGCCAAATAAATCTACCACATCAAAATTTTGTGAGTCAAATTTCAAATATCGTAGTAAAGGATACAAAGAATAATGAATGAATAGAAAAATATCGTAGTAAAGGATACAAAGAATAATTTTTTCACAATTATGCTTCACATCGGAGAAGGAAGAACCGTATATTACGACTTCGCGACGGTATGGGAGGTTGGTGTGAAGGGAGAAGGCTGCTGCCCTTTGTTTATAATTATTTTGCAGATTTTTTCAAAGATAATAATATGAGGGGACAGCACAACGCTATGGACATGTGGTGTGCAGAGGTGGATCATGCACGTGTTCGGGAGGATCAAAATGCTGAGCTCCAACGTCCATTTACTCGGCAGGGGATTGAGGAGGCACTTTTTTCCATGCATCCGGACAAATCCCCAGGACCGGATGGGCTCAACCCAGCGTTCTTCCAAAACTGTTAGAAGGAAGTGGGCCCGGAGCTATCTAACTTTGTTTTTTATTGTCTCCGCAGGAAGGTTATCCCAGAAGGCCTTGGAGATGCTACTCTTGTTCTTATTCCTAAAAAGCACAGTCCCGAAAATGTGGGAGATCTCCGACCAATAGCTCTTTGCAATGTAATCTATAAGATAATTGCAAAGATCTTGGCGAACAGAATGAAACCTGTACTGCAGAGTTTGATCTCGGATAACCAGTCAGCGTTCTTACCTGGGAGACTCATATCTGACAACATCCTCCTTGCTGCGGAAATAGGTCATTATCTTCGAAGGAAACAAGTAGGCAAAGTTTGATGGGTAGGGCTGAAGCTTGACATGGCCAAAGCATATGACAGGGTGTCCTAGACTTTTGTGGAGACTATGATGCGTACGTTGGGTTTTAACGAAGCTTGGATCCAGCTCATAATGATGTGTGTGAAATCGGTTAGATATCGGGTTCTTGTCAATGGAACTCTCAGTGAAGTTATCTCTCCGACGCGAGGTCTGAGACAAGGGGATCCCTTGAGTCCTTATCTTTTTCTGATATGTGCGGAAGGACTTTCACTGTTACTCAAGAAGGCAGAGGCAGAGAGGAGGATTCATGGGGTTAGGGTGGCCAATGGAGCCCCTCCTATTTCTCATTTGTTTTTTGCGGATGATAGCCTACTCCTTTTTAAAGCATCCATGGAGGAGGCCCGCGTGGTGAAGCAATGTTTGGAGGAATATGAGGTAGCCTCGGGACAACAAGTGAACTTCTGTAAGTCAACGGTCTGCTTTAGCCTTAATACTATCCATGAGGTTCAAGAGGAAATTAGTCGTTTTTTGGTGTGACTCTGGCAGGTGACTTTGGGAAATATTTAGGTCTACCTTCATGCATTGGCAGAAATAAAACCTTGGTTTTTTCATTTATTCTAGACAAGATCTGCCATCGTACCTGTGGATGGAATAAACGTTTGCTCTCTAAAGCTGGAAAGGAGATCTTACTGAAAACAATGGCCCAAGCAATGCCGCAATATGCTATGAGTGTGTTCCTCCTGCCCATTGGGGTCTGCCAGAAGATTGAAAGAATTATGAACCAGTTTTGGTGGCAAAACAGTGGCAATGCTTCCTCTAATATTCATTGGTTGTCGTGGAGGCGTTTGACAAGTCCAAAAAAGTTCGGGGGGCTTGGTTTTAAGGATATCCATGACTTTAATATTGCCATGCTGGGCAAGCAAGGGTGGAGATTATTAACTAATCCGGGGTCATTAACAGCTAAGATTTTCAAGGCAAGATACTTTCCGAAGACGTCTTTTTTAGAAGCGAAGATTGGCCTAACCCAAGCTTTGTTTGGAGGAGTATTTTGGAAGCCCAAAGCCTCATTAGAGATGCATGAAGAAAAAGAATTGGGAATGGGGGTGAGACCCTTGTTTGGAGTCACGCATGGTTATGGGATAAATCAAGCCCGTCTATTTCTACTCCCCGACCAGATTTTTGCCCCGATTTTACAGTCTCGTTCCTCATTGATCACTCCGCTAACACTTGGAAATTGGATATGTTGCAGCACTGGTTTTCTGAAGATGATAGAGCTCGGATTCTTTAGGTCCCGATTTCGTCAGCGGTTACGGACCAATGGTACTGGGCGTTGGATTCGTCTGGGGATTACACTGTTAAAAGTGTGTACAGGAAGCTTACTGGGGAGGCATCAGACACGTTAAAAGTGCGTACAGGAAGCTTACTGGGGAGGCATCAGACACGTCTTTTTTTAACCATTGGAGCAGGTTATGTTGGAACACGGGTTTACGCCTTCGTCGTACTAAACTGTATTCGTTTATGACAGGTTTTGATAATGCCAAACCGCCGCGACATATCGAAGCTAAAGTGAGCAAAACTAAGGCGAAGGAACATGGCATGATGACTTGAGAACCAAGAACCTAGAATCAAGAACGAAGAACTAGAATTGTATTGAGTCGGTCTTAATGTGATCAAGACCGACACAAAATTCCAAATCTTGGCTCTCTAGGCTTAATTCATAAAAAACTCCTTTACATATTCAAAAATACCTTTCTTAAAGTTTAAAAATGGGTCAAAACACTTGGAGTTCGCCCAAGCCAAAAACCAAGCCATCCGGCGTTCGGCTTTCGGTTTTCGGCATCGGTTTTTGGCGTCTGAACCAACCAAGGGGTTTTTAACTTTTTATTACTGGTCTTTACTTCTGGGCATATTTAAATAGTTCTCCAACAAAAACGCCTCAAAAACCACCTTCCGTTTTTTGTCGTTTCGTGAAAACCATGCAAAACGGCACGAACTTGGCTAGCCATGGTTTTCAACTAAATGACGTGGTTTTTAAGATGTTTTACTTGATTTCTTAGCAAAATGCAATAAACAAATGTTTTCTAAACTTGGTTTTTATTTTGGAGAACTTGCGTTTTTGACATCGGCTAACGACGTGACTAAACCAACCATGGTCTGGCTAAACCAAGCCCAACAGCGATGTTGGGGTAATCAACAGCGCTGTCTGGCCTGGGTAACCAAAAACATGGTTTGGCGTTAAGTCTTCCAACAGCGATGTTGGACATCAGACATCGCTGTTGAGCCAAGGTTGGACTCCCAGAAACTTCTGGAACAGCGATGTAGGCTCCCCTACAGCGCTGTCCAACCT